GCCTCCTACTATAATACATTTAGCTCCTTATCCTAGAATAGTATTAGTAGTGTTTTATACTAAGTTATAGAGCTAAGAGCTATAATATTAACTAGCTAGACTATTATATAGGGGGGGTTCTATAGCTAGTTACTATATATCTCCTACTAGCTTAATATATCTAGTTATTAGATAAGGGGGCTGAGGTAGTAGTATAAGTAGTAGTAAAACTATAAAAGAAACTTAGTCTAATACACTTATTATTTAGAAAGGAGGTAGAGTTTTATAAAGTATTCTAGGTTTTTATAGTCTATTAATATTATAAAAGGGGAAAGCTAACCCTAGAGTTCTACTACTTAGGCTTTAAAGTAGGCTACTATTATAAAAAACTCTTTATTATAAATAGTATAATTCTATTCTATAGTAGATAGTTTTACTAAGTAATAGGCTACTAGGTATAGTATACTATTCTTATCTATCTATAATAGGCAGCCTCCTAGGCCTACTCTAGAGTAGTCTATCTTAACTATTAATTCCCTTATAGGGTCCTAAAGGGTTAAATATAGCTCTAAGAGGAAGAGTGTTTTAAGTTATTAAAAGGTGGATTCTTCTACTTCTCCTTATATAAACTATACTCCCTTCTAAGTAAGCTATATAAAGGGGGCTACTATTATAGAGAATTAAAGAATAAACTTATAGTAGAAGTTTATAAATCCTAAGAAGCTTTATATACTTATAAGTTATATTAAAGACTCTTAATCCTATATTATAGCCACTTTACTTAAGTTTAGTTTTAAGGACTTATCCTAAATAAGTATATAAGCCACTTAAATAAACTAAAGTAAGTATAAAACACTATATATTTCTTCTACTTTAGCTTTATTTAGAGTTTATAGAAGGCTAAGTGGATATTAACCTTTATATACTATTTTACTATTAAGAGAGTATAGAGTGTCTCTTTTATTAATAGTAGGGGGTATTAATTATCTTCTATAATAGTGTTTAGGGCTTTATAGTCTATATAAAACTACTAACTACCTACTAGTTTCTTAATAAGGAGAACTAGTACTATAGTAGGGGAGGAGCTAGCTTATATCCACCCCTTATTAAGTAGGCTAGTAAGCTATTAATATACTTCTAGTAGCTAGTTATAGGATATCTAGTATAGTCTCCTATAGGGGAGCTCTTCTAGTATACTATCTAGATGTGTTTTAAGCTTTATATTATAATTAAACCCTAACTATATTAGGGGTAGACTAGTTACTTTTTCTTCTATAAAGAGGTCTTTAAACTTATTATACTATTCTAGGAGGTACTATTCTTTCACTAGAGTATAGTATAGTATAGTATTAATCTTATATAGGCTTATTATTATTATCTCCACTTTAATACTAATTATATAGAATTTATCTTTTAATACCTTATAAAATCTCTTCCTTATAAGTAGAGTAGAGTGTAGTATTAGACTATATTACTACTATATATAGATATACTAGTTAGGCTTATTCCTTAGGTAGAGATATTCTACTTCTATATTAATAATTAAATAGTACTATTATAGCTAAGGTAGCCTTAAGATTACTAAGTAGGAGAGGGCTAGGATAATATAGAGTAGTATAGGGAACTACTAGCCGTCTATATTAATATATGTTTATACTATCTCTACTATAGTGAAAAGTAGTGTGTCCTTTACTATAAGGTGGATCTATCTTAGTAAAAAGAGAGTAACCTATTATAACTATAATAAGTCTACTAATCCCTCTTATATTACTCTATAGTACTTATAACTAGTATTAATTAATATATCTAGGGGGGTAGATGTATTAATAATACTTAGTACTAAGAATAGTTTTATATTTATATGTTTTTTTATTTATTTTTATACTTAACTCCCTTCCCCCCCTTTATTATTTAACTTCTATATTATAAGTATTATTATACTACCTAAAGGGAGCTACTTCCTTAGACGTTACTATTTTCTACCTTTAAGTTACTACTTTAGTTAGTAATCACTATAACCTAAGATTATTATATATCTAGTTATCTTACTAAGAGTAAATAGTATTTTATAATATAATATTTATCTTAACTATACTAAAGGTAGGCCCCTAATTCCCTCTAGGAGTATAATACTAACTTAGACACTTAGGGCGCCCTCTCTTACTCCCCTAACTAGCACTATAGCCCTTTTATAGGGGCCCCTAGATAGGTGTAGAATATACTAATTCCTATTATTATTATATCCCTATTAGTAGTATTAACTTAGTATTAGGTTAGTAGAGTTTACTAGTTTATAATTAATAGTTCTCTTTAATCTAAAAGGATTCTAGGTCTATAGAGATTACTTAGATATTTTATACTATTATATTATAATCCGTCTAGGAGATCTATCTACTAATAATTAAACTCCTTATAGTATTAGAAAGGGTAAACTAGAGCTTATTTAACTTAACTTTATTTACTTATACTAGCCCTCTTACTATTACTAATTCTTATTTAAAATGTATATAGTAGTAGGAGAAGGACTCTTTTTCTTACTATTTTATTAAACTAAGATGTATTATTACTAGCTCCTAATAGTAAGGGTTACTAAATACTATTTTAAAATAACTTAAGAATATATAAAGGTCTAATTCCCTTTAGTAGCCTCCTACTTTAAAATAGACTATAACCTTTTATTATATAATTAGACTAAGATCGATGAAGGTGGATGTGTATGTCCGCCCTAGCCCTAGGAGCTAGTTAGTAAGAGTTACTCTTAGAGAAGCTATATTTCTATTTATAGTTTATTATTTTATTTAAATAGGGTTTAATTTAGTAACACTAGCTTAATATAGTCTATTAGGGTGTCTTAAGAAGACTACCCTACTTTTATTATAGTAACTAAGAAAAAAAACTAGGAAGAGATTTAATTATTAAGGACTAGCCCTACGGCTACTATAAGTAGGTGTTAATATAAGGTTAAATTAAATCTCTTATAGAGGAAGAGGTAGGGAGGTTATAATAAAGTGGCTACTATGTATAAGGGGGAGTCCCCCCCCCTATTAGCCCTATACCTTAGGCTACTAGACTATTAGTCTAGCTAGGCTGTAGCCTAAGCTCTTATAAAAGTATAGACTTAATAGAGGGGACTCCCCCTTATATATAGTAGCTACTTTATAATACCCTCTTTATCTCTTCTCTCTATAAGAGATTTAATTTAACCTTATATTAACGCCTACTTATAGTAGCTATAGGGCTAGTCTTTAATATTATATAAGATAAAGTATCTAAAACTAATTTAATAAATTTTTAGGCTATAGATAATAGCTGAAGCTTCGAGCTAAGTTAGAGAGATAAGAAAACACTATTAGCACTTTCTATTTCTAAGAACCCTAGACGAGGATAATTTTAGAGATTTAGGCATTTACTTAAAGGAGTAACTGTAAGCCGACTATCTGTCCTGCGTGTCCGATCGTCGCGCCATAGCGGTGTTATACAACTCTTAAAATGGCTCGTACCGCACTTCGAGCTCCTCGCGCTCGAGATAATGCTTCTATTCACGGGTCCTGGTCTCCTTACCGCTCGTAACCTTAACAGGCATATGGCTCATGGCGACGACGACCTGCTCGTCGCCGTACCAGTGATTTCTGCGCGCACTAATGCCACTCTTGCAGACGACGTTACCGCTGCTCGTAATTCAGACGGCCGGACAGGTGGCAATTTCAGTATTAGCATTGTCAACATGCCCGCGTAGCTCCTTCACCTTCTAGATCTCGTGGCAACGCCCTTCGTCACCCACGCAGGCGGTGGCAGCGTTGGAGGTCAATTGCGACGGACGGCTCCTCCGCAAGCTGGCCCACGGCTTAAGTGAGTGTCTCGTGGGGCTGGCGGTTCTTAAGGGACAGGCAGAGGCAGAGGCATCTTGGTCGGCCTGAAGGTGGATGCGCGGACGCTCTTCCACAGTGAGCGGTCGGTTGGAGCTGCGGTATGGGATGGATAGGCAGGCGGATGACGAGGTCAGCGCGGTGTGCGGCTCGTGGAATCTCTGAGGCCGAGCACGCGGGGTGGGCGGGTGCGAGACGAGGAGGACGTGCTCGGGGCGGGCGTTACCGTGGATGTTGACGATGGGCTTTCCGTTGGCATAGATGCCTGCGGGGCGCTGCCGGCGTTGGGAGTTCGAGGATGAGATGCGTCGAGAGAGTCGGTGCTCCGACTCGGAGCCTGATATATGAGATGAGCGTGGCGAGTATGTGGGCGTGGGTACGAAGTCGTTGACGGCCGCAACGGGGGGAAGGCTCTATGATGATGGCGGCGGCATTGACATATGTCGGGGTCCTGGGCGGTGAACCTCGACATCGACGACACAACGGCGACCAAAGCGAGAGAATGGACAGAGAAGAGACTGGGCTTTGATTGAGTAGCGACAGTCGAGACGAGAGTGGGCATTTGTAATGCGCATTGCAACGGTGTTACACCACGTTGCGATTGGGAGAAATCAGTACGTGGTGGTTATTGAGCACTAGGCCGACGGACAAGCCTTGGTTGTGTATTTAGTATTTTGTATGAATGGGAAGACGGAGTATCAAAAATGAACCTCAGCGAAAGGGCAGTTATAGACAGAATATCATTTAAGTCATTTCGCGGCGTCGGCTAGGAAGCAAGGAGGCATTAATTAATTGAGGCTGAGGTTGATACATTAAGACTGTTTCTGCTCGTGCACTAATTGGCATTGCTACCCAGTCCGCAAATGATTGGCGGACAGTCTCCCATCTTGTGACCACTGTCCAACACGACACCTCATTAAGCGCCGGATAAATCCTCAGGGGCTAGTGGCTGTCTAGGTTCTTCATGCACTTAGTTCACTAGAAACCTAGTGGCTCTATTACACATGAAAGCCTGGAGGTCTTTGTGAGCTATTACACAGTATGTCGATATGCCCTCATCGGTGGGGTTTTACGCCAAGTCCGGGCAAGGCATGAGCACGATGCTGGTATTGCAAAGTGAATATCGCTGACTTGAAATCGAGGAACGCGACTTCATCAGCGATCAAAAGTCCATTCACAATCATCATCATATCCCTGCGCGATTCTCTCAACATCAACAACAGCATCCCACGCCGCCAACGTCCTCCTATATCTATCGTATCCTTCATCAAAATTCACAACACCCAGGTCTTCCCAGCGCCCAGTATCGCACTCACAGCGCAAAACAGACCTCAGCACATCCAGCAACTCCTTCCTCCACGCAGGCTGATGGCCCCCAGACAGTCGTGCCGCGACGTACTCAAAGTAAGCGGGCATGATGTTCGCCATCTCCCAGTCTAGAAAACCTGTCAGCGCGAGGGTGTCCGGGTCCACGAGGATATTCCGGTCAGATAAGTCCCCATGTGTGAGGACAGGACGGTCCCAGTCACCTGCGCCGGCGATGCCACGCTGTACTCGCTCGAGTTTGACTGCACGTTCAGCGTCCGGGGCATGTTCCTGTAGCGCACGCACACGTGAGTCGTCCCACTCTATGCGAGAGGCGCAACATGCAAATTTATCTGTGCCAAGTTCTGAGAAGAGGAGGTATGGCTGTTGCGTGGGCCGTCCGTAGTAGGAGAAGCGGCGTGAACGCATATGCACGAGGTGGCGGCAGAGCTCCGCCTTAACGGTCTCACGCTGCGGAGGCGTGAGTGAAGGCCAGAGCTGGGCTAGTGGCGTGCCTGGCTGGTGAGTGAGGACGAGGCCCTGTTTGGTGCGGTTGAGCGTCGAGACGCCCGAGGTTGTTATTGGGACCGTGACGACGCTGACGACGCGCGGGACACAGGGCCCCAAGATGGAATAGGCAAGCGCGGTCATAATGCCTTCACCGTCGTCAGTTTCAAGCTTCAGGATGGTAGTCGGAGAATGTTTGAAAAAACGGCGTCCAGTGGTTGGAACGGTCGGCCCTGAGAACAGAGGGAGTTTGGGGAGAAAGGTCCAGTGCTCCCGAGGAAGCTGCTGGGGCTCCTGAGAGCTAACGCTGGGGGGGATCATGGCGAGCAACGTAACTGGTGATAATGCGGGGCATGTACTGTGGTTGATCGCAGGCCAAGACGGAGTCCCACGCCGAGTTTATAATCAGCTATCACGTATCACGTGATTGATGATAGTGTGCCTACCTTTTCTAGATTAGCACCATTTACTGAAATATGCGGAAGAATCTTCCTTTGCCAAAAGCTGCATTCAACCATCTGGAATTAATATAATCATGCTTTCTCATCTAATGAACGCTTTCACGCCCTCCGCCATTTCTTCTACGCTCCTTGTCCTTGGCGAGTTTGGTTCCACGATCCATATTCTTCATATCCTACCCGAGAACAGCATCAACGAACGCTTCAGCCTCACAACCTCATCTTCCGCTACCGCCTTTCACCACAGCGGAGCCACAGAGCAGGCCCGTGAGCAGATTGGCACGGTCACACTTCACGTTGGAGATGGCGAGACTGCCAACAATTTCCTTGACGATGTTGAGACACGGATCCGTAAGCTGCGGGACGATTCCTCCGGCTCGAGCCCAGCGCAGCAGCAGACGGGAACTGTTGGTGTGACTCAACTCGTGCAAGACGTCCTCAAGCCAGCAGCGATGGATGCAATCCACGAAAGAGAGAAGCGAGAGCGGTCTATGAATGCGACGCAGGCATACCCGGTTTTTATTATTTACATCAGACGCTCAAGAGCAGGGACGATCCTAAGAGAACCAACGAGCTTTCCTTCTTGAGTTCTCATTAATCCTTACTCAAGATACAATAATACTTGCGGTGTTTTGAACATAAACATGATTTTTATTCCGAATATGACTTGCTTCGTTGAAAAAGTAGTCGAAGAGAACTAGCGTATATCATCCTAGTCTCATGTACGGGGAGTTTTCCATAGTTCGTGTCCGACATATTATTGGTCATGCCAGTTTCTTCAACATGCTTTATCTGGTGTGCAACATCGACTCACATGCCCAAGTCACACCTTCTCTTTTAAAAGAGCGGCTCAAATCCCTTTGCCTCCAGCGCATCGAACTGCTCCTGGGTGATTATCGCGTTGTTAACAAGGCGCTGCAAGATCTGGGTGCAGAATCTTTGGCAGTTATTAACTGCAAGATCAAAAGGGCGGCCTTGAGCCGCTGCCTGGCACTGCACGTCAAGCGTGGCGTTAGAGAGCGTAAGCCCAGAAGCGATTTCAACTGAGGCCTGAAGCGATCTGGAGGCTGTTGGGTTCATATTCGGCACCTGCCGGTAGACCTGAGATTATATCAGTATCAGGCTCGAGAATAAGATATGGCCGCATACCGTCTGCCCGCTTGTCATCGAGTCCTTGCTGGCATGGAAAAGCGTGCCAGTTGCAGCATCCGTATCCCAAAGATAGCTGCACACATATGAGAATTTTTCAATATTGCTCGGAGCTTAAGACTGACAGTGCCCAATGCGCGGTATCTTGCGGGAACAAGCGGGACTGCTTGAAGCACAGAAGAGTAAGAGTCCGTGACATGTTGGTTGTGTTATATTGAACCGGGTAATTGGTGAAGTATGCTCGAAGAATGTATAAAATTGTGTCAACGAACCAGAGCGTGTCTTGAATTTTAGCTCTGAAAAGACAAGAGACTGCCAGTGCACTCGGGCCATGGGTTCACGGAGGTCTCACGCAGTTGACTATAAGAGTCAGCGAGTCTTTGGCTGCAGGAGGAAGCGGGGAACCATCCCGAACTAGTCAGACTCAATAGCCAACGAGCCACCTTAAAGGATGAGGCATTCCCTGATGCATGAGGCGTATATTTTTTCCAATAGTTTAGAGGTTAATTCTCGAAGTGCCCGCGGCCAAAAGGATTCCTCAGCCAGTCGTTGCAGCAGGTGTGGTGCCCTGCATGTGGTTGAGAGGATCCATCAGTGCGGAGGACATGCCTGGTAATATCATGAGCGGGGTGACGGGGCGAGCACGGGGATAGTCCGAGGAGAGCCGTTTACTTGTCGGGAGGGGGCTACCAATCATGCCGATGTCCGCCCTTGTCGACTGCCCTTGAAACAGGGGCATCAAGCCCACAGCCAAAATACCACGCTATTTCCATCATTCGGGCCACTCTCTTATGAAATCTATATTAGGCAGTGGGGCTTGCACATACTCCTTTGTCATGCCAGCCTTCTCTTCAGGGAGTAACTTAGAGCTCAGCAATATGACTCATTTTATCTTTCCTCACCGCGACCATGCATATGCATATATTATGTAGCTATAGCCTGGACATTATCCCTACATTTCCCATTTCTGTCGAATCAGGATACACAGTGAGCCGCTGTGGATATCAGCCGCAGCGGGGAATCATCGCCAGAGTTGGTGCCGTTAATAAAAGCTCAGGCGGTGCACCAGCGCTGCTAGCCAATCGTAGACGAGTGGAATACAAAAGTCCCCTACCACAACGGGGTTTACGTGGCTTATTACAGAGGAAGGAACAGAAAGTCGTGTCTAATAGGGATAAAGGGTACTAGACTAAAAGGGGAAATTATTATATAAATTAGTAGGGGTTATTCCCTACTTTCTTTATACTTATTACCTCCTTCTAGCTTAATGATTATACATACATACTATAGTAGACGCTTAATCCAGCCCTATATCCTCTCTTAAGGTAACTCTTCCTAGGCTGTCTACTACACTATAATAGCCTCCTTCTAGCTCTTTAGAGTACCTCTTCTAGTAGTCCTTCTTTTTATCTAGGGCTAGATAGGCTTAATAGGGTTAAGATTATAGCTATTATTAGACTATAATAACCACTAGACATTATAACTATTATAGATCTATTACTAGATATATATTATAAATACTATAAAGTATATAGGTAGGGCTAAGTAAGGTAGGATAAGGCTTATTATACTAGCCACTAAAAGGATAGGGGGTTATATAACCTCCTTAGGATTAAAGACTTAAGCTATTAAACTATTAATCTAAGAATAAGATCTAAAGGATTAAGGGTTAAGCCTTCTAATCTAGAGTTATAGTAGAGAGGTAAATATATACTTAAGGAGGAGGTATTCTTATAACTAGGTAGTCTCTCTACTAATTAATCTAAGTAATAAAACTCTACTATTAGGAGATATCTCCTAATATAACTTATATTATAATAACTACTTATATACACTCTATATACTTAAACTAACTCTTTATTTAAGAAGTAGACTAACTATAGATTAGGATTAAGCTACTATTATATATAGCTTCTTTTATTTATCTTATTATTCTAATTATCTATTAAGTGCCTAGTTAGAAATATTAGTTTTAACCTTATAGGGTTTTTTTTAATCTAATATTCTTATAATTAGTTCTTTTATAACTAAGTTTTTAATATTTTAGAATAGTGGCGGCGGAGGCGGCGGAGACAGCACCAGCGTCATCGACGGCGGCGGAGGCGCGGGGGCGTGGTGGGGCGGGGGCGGGGGCGGCGGTGGTGATGGTGACCACCGGGTTAGTAACACCGCCACCGGATCGGATCCGGTCGGCGGCCACCTTAGCAGCGACGCCACTAACATCGCGACGGGCCTAAGTCATAGCGCGGGCGAGGCGTAAGAAGTCCTAGTGTTCTAGGACCACCCCCGGCTTAAGGCTAGGGTGCTCTAGTAGCTAGGCCTAGAGGGTGGTGGTAGTAGTGGTAATAGGGGGTATAACCTAAAAAGATTAGTAGTAGGGGCAATATAAGAAAGGGCTAGACTCATAGTAGGGCACTATATATAGAGTTAAGCACACTTAGTATAAATATAACCCTTACCTATTAAAGTTAGTAAAGTTAGGGCTATATTAGGGATAGTATATACTAGTAGGCTAGAAGTAGGTGACTATACTAGTGGTCTTAGTATAGGTAATATAGTGACTATAGGGGGTCTTATAGGGCTCACTCTACTCTAGCTCTAGCTTAGTCTTATATAGGGTTAATATAAACTTAGTACTATTAATAGGGGTAGTATATTTATAAGGCTATAATAGTAAAGGGATAGACTAGGACTAGGATAGAGTAGACTTACTATAATAGGAGAAGTTATTAAGTGTTATATAACTACTAAGGGGTTAAGACTAAGTCTAGCCTAAGGGTGAGGGGGGGAAGGTACTTATATTCTTTATAGGTATAGAAATAGGGGGCTTCCTATAAATAGTTAGCTTTATATAGGATAGGGGTAGGCTAAGGATAGTAAGGGGAAGGAGAAATAGGGGTGGATAGGGATAAGATAGTATAGTAATAGGGGTGAATATATAGAATTAGAGAGACTAAAGAAGAGAGAGGAAAGAGAATTAGAAGATAAGGGTATTATAGTCTCTATATACTTACTAACTAATAATAGATTAGCTAAATTAACTAGATTAGCCACTAGTAAAGAATAATAATAGTAAATTAACTACTAGGTTAGTTAGTAAGAACTAATATAAGGCTATACTACTATTAGGGGGGTAGTTATAAGTGTACTAAGGATAGGCCTTTATATAATATTTATATTAAAATATAATAACTAATAGAGGATATAATAAATAGTATAGTTAATATAAATAATAAACACTTAAAGAACTACACTCCTATATAGAGTAAAGATAGTAAGCGCCCTAAGTATAAGCTAGGCGCCTACCCACCTAGAGACACGGATAACTATATTCTTTTATAGCCCTTATATAGAGATTATAAGCCACCCCCCCCCCTAACTAGGGGAACGCCCTAGCCCTAACACAGCCTATATGACTAGGGAAGGTAGTAATAATAAGGTAGAAGATATTAGAAAGGGGGGAGGAGAAGTAATAGAAAGGATAGGACTAAAAATAAAAACCTAGGGATTAAGAGAGGGGCCTATATTAGACCCTACTAGGAACTAATATAAGGCTAACTACTTATAGTAGAAGTAAAGGTTTTCTTCTAGAGACTCTAGTTTTTCCTTTACTATTAAACTTATAGAGGTACTAAATAGATAGACTAGCCTAATTAGTATAATATAATTAATTAATTAATATTTTCGAATACTTTAGTTTTAACTTCTTCTTACTTAAACTTAGTATCCTTTTTTATTAAGTCTATAAAGGGTTATACTATATTATTATATTCTCTTAGGAATTTATAGTAGAAGTTTATAAAAGTAGTAAATAATAGGACTCTTTTAGGGTTTATTAGTATAGACTATTCTTTAATTACTTAAACTTTTTCTAAGCTTATATATACTTCTCTATATATAAGTATATATTCTAGGAAGTATACTATTTATTAATAGAATTAATACTTCTTTCTTTCTATTAGGAGGTAGTTATTCTATAGGGCTTATAGTACTTTATAAATATATTATTTATACTCTTTAAATATTTTTAAATAAATAAGAAGTTTTATAGTTTCTTAATCTATAACTCTTTAACTATATTTAACTACTTCTCCTTCTATATTTATAAGTTAATAGGGTTTATCTTTTATCTTCTAAAGTAATTATAATTTATTAATAAGATTTAATAAAATAAAATTTCTTTAAGCTTTACTATTTATTATTATTTAGGTTTTATTTTTATTAATAAAGAGGTTAACTATAAAGTAACTTATACTACTAATGTTTATAGTATATAAAGACTAATTAGATTTTTATTAAAGTATTAATCTTAATTATAATAATAGTTATTATTTTTTAAACTTCTTTCTTTTTATAAATTATTAGTCTTTTTATTAGACTTATTATTAAAGCTTTAATAATAATTAATTTATTTATTATTTATATT